CTGGCTCCTCTGTGGTATCAGGTCAGGGGTGGGGGTGGGTGCTGGTTAAATATCAAAATAGAAGTTTCTGGAATTCCCCCTGCCCCCCACCAGCCCAGACTATAAGCCACAATTTGCTTGGGGTAAGCCAGGGTGGGGGTGAGGGCAGAAAGAAGTGAAAGGGGGCAGTAGCTCAGAAAATGACTAAATTGTTCCTCCTCTGGTGAATCACTGGCGACCAGCTAAATCCGGTTTTGATTTAAGGGGGATCATGTGACACCTAAATGGCCAAGAATTATCTATCAGACAGGGAGGAATTCACATGCTTTGAGAGGTGGGTGTCCTGTCTCAGGGGAGTCGGATGATGAGAGAGCAGAAGCTCCTTGTCCTCCCAGCCCATCCAGCGCCATGCCCAGCTCTGCTGCCAAGGCTGAGGTGGACAGGGAAGGGGGAAAAAGACCCTGGAGTTACCCCTCAGGGCAATGAGGAAACAGCCCAGGCTGGAGTGAGCTCTGGACCCTCACTAGAGATGCTGCCATGGAAAGGGGGGTGAGGGGAGGCTGGGGGCAACTAGCTTGGAAGGAGGAAGAAGAAAGGATACAAATAGGACGGTGAGTTGGGCAATAGAGGAGCTAGGGCCCTTGTCTCAGCCGGGCAGGGTGGTGGCCAGGGCCATTAGGGTGGTGAGTGGAGAACCAAGACATTTGACATCCTGTTTCCTCTGGTCCCTGTGTTCTGGGCCTGGGTCCCTACTTTACACCCTCAGGCCCCAAGAGGCCCCGGGCCTCACTCGAAGGATTAGTCCCACTAGTTGCAGACTCTCTGGGGACAGTTCCATCTGGGCAGCCAAAAGCCAGACTTCAGGTCCTCGATCAAGGTCAGGGGAGGGTGGAGAGGCAGGGCTGGGAGCTATCCCCTCCCTGGGAGAGGGGATCTCTGATTTTCAGTATTTATCTCCAGGACCCTCAGGGACTTTGTCCTGTCTTCCCTCCCTCTATCAGTGCTCTCTGCCTCAATTCAGGCAAGCGTGAGCAGTTCTGGAAAATGCATCCAAGTTGCTGGAGAGCTGAGGGTAACTGGATGGTCATGGCAAGTCAGCTGTCTCAATCCCCTCCCAACCCAAACTCCATCTTCCCGGCAGGCCGCCTCAGGGAGTGAAGTCGTTGTTTTCTATAACATGGCCTATGGGAGGAAAATCCCTACCCAGACTAGGAGGAGGGTTCATTCCCCTCAGTCCTTCTGTTCTGCGCCCCACAGAAACTTCTGGCTAAGAGAGCGACTGTGTGGCCACACCCACGGTCATCCTCTCCCCACACAGTCTGAGGTCTGGATCCTTTGTCAGCATCTGAGGCTCTGTGTGTCCACCTCTGGACAAAGCCTGAGGTCTCCCACTGGATCCCAGTGGGGAAAAGCCCAGATTATTCTGGGAACAGCCAACACAGGCTGGCACGCAGGCCTCGCGGGCATAGCAGGAAGAAGGCACATGTGGAAAAGCATTTGCTGAGACGGTTGCTCCAGGGCTCAGAAGCTGGAGGTGGGGGTGGATGGGGTGGGTGGAGGAGACAGCCCCCCTTATTTAGCCTGGCTCAGGCCTGGGAGCACTGGCGTCTGGGCCCTTGCCAGGAGAGATCGGAGCCCGCCAAGTCAGGTCACACTGGAGGAGGAGCGGGGTAGAGGCGGGCCCTTCCTCAGAGCCCAGGAACCCCAGCTAGTGGGGCCACAGGGGTTGTTCTGGCTGCTTCCAGCTTTATGTGTGCCCTTGCTCAGCCTGATCATTCTTTCCCCATGTACCCTATTATGCAGGAAAGTCGGAGGGGGTCCCCTCCTTCCCACCCCTCGCCCACCCCTGGGCCCTTGCTCCCTAAGCCCTTGTATTTGTACCTAGGCCAGCAGAATTAGGATTTCCACCTGGTCATCAGGTGTTTTAGGGGTCCATTCTGACAGGCAGGCAGAAAATCAGACTTGAGGTCTAGGAACTAGGGGGTCGTGGGCTCTAGCCCCACCTCTGTGGTTCCTTGGCAAATCACTTACCATCTGAGCTTCCCAGGATTGTGGTAAAAATGGGTTCACAACCAGAGACTGTTTCCTTCCTTCCTTCCCTGATTGGCCTGAATTTGTGGCAGACCAGAGAAAAGGAGGTGGAGGAGTTTGGGGCCCTCCTGGGTTTGGGGCTCCAGTGATAGACCTTCCCTCTTTCCCATTGAAATGATCAGGTTGTGGTCACAGAGCCCACTTTGCATTCTGGGAGAGGACAAGGTCAGCCTTATTTTGTCTGCATCCTGATGGCACCTCCTATATGTCTGGCTATTTCCAAACAATAGGGCCAGGACGGTGGTGGTTAAGGCAGGGGCCATGCGAGCATGGAGTAGGGGGCTGGAGCTAGTGTTGCCAGTAGAGGGTGGGAAGTATTGCCCTGAGGGCCCGCATATCACCCTGAGACCAGTGGGTGCCTAAGTTGCCTGGAAATCCAAGGAGGAAGGGGGCTGCTGAGTGTTTGCCTCAGTGGAAACACATGTGTCTTCCACACTCACATGCTCCCATATGCAGAGCACCAACAAGGGGCCTATAGGCTCACGTGCTAGATGGAAAGCTTCAGGAGCTTGACAAGGAGCTAAGCTGTGTGGTTCACCGCTGTCTCCCCAGCCCTTGAATGGCATTTGGCACATAACATGTGCTAAGTAAATATTTGCTGGATAAATGAGGTCCCTAGTCCTTTCTCTGTGATGCTCTAAGCACATACCATTGAGTCCAGGGACCCCTGCTGGCCTGGGGTCAGTCCCTGGCTGCCTAACTTAAGCCCTCCTGAGGCTGGTCCCAGTACTGCCAGTGTCAGCACTTGTACCTGCACTAGGCAGAGGTCAAGGACAGATATGGGTCTGACTGGGGTCTAGAAGCCCAGGAGGAAGGAAACTGGTGAGTGTTTCCCTCAGTGGACCTCTGCCCACAGGAAATGGCCCTGTACCAGAAAACCCTGGCCTGAGGGGACTCCACTCCTGCTTCATGTCCTGGTCTGAGGGAGCACAGTGCTGCCCTCTGAATTCTGGGAGAGAGGAAGCTCCAGTCCTGCAATAGTAGTGGGAGGCCCCAGAACTGACCAGAAAACCCCTTACTCTGGGTCATTATCACCACCAGGCCATGGGGTCCTGGTCCAGGGTGTGAGGGAGCCTCCTGGGGCTTGGAGAACTGAGTCAGGGTTGTTTAAGGGAAGGGATGTGGAAGAGATTTTGGGGAGTGGCCCAATGGGGCCGGCTCCCTTTCCCGAACGGTTAATAAGGCACCAATTACCTCCGGCTGTTCAGGCAGTCTGGCGGGCACAATCACCCTACTACCATGCTGCCTCCCAGCCTCATGCCCGCTCCCTCCTGTACTCATAGGCTTTTAGTGCAGTTTGGTGGACACAGCTCCCCACACCTCCACTCCTGGTCAACCCCCTGTTCCCAGTAAATGCCAGGATGATCCCCCCTGTGTCATTCATGGCCAGGGCCAGGCAGCTATGGTGGGTGCTGCGGTAGGCAGCAGTGGGGCACTGGTGTCATCTACCCATGACCCCTATATAGGAGACACATTCTCATTCCTGCCCTGTTCCCTGTACCTGCAGAACTGAGAGAAGTCCTTCCCCTCGCTGTGCCTCAGTTTCTCATCTATAAAATTGGGAGTTGCCAGTGCTCATGTGTAGGACTGGCAGGTCTGGCAGGAGGTAGGAGGAGACGGCCAAAGAGGGCCTCTCCTTCCTGGAGCCTACCTCACCCAGGGCCCCACAGGGCTCCTGTGGCCACATGCTTAGGCTAATATGCAGTGACCAGCAGCCCGGGCTTCCTCACCAGCCTCCTGGCCCAGAGTCCAGTTTCTGGATCAGTTTGTCGGCTGCCTTTGCACCTCTGGCTGGGGATGTGCAGGACCAGGTCGACTATGGAGAGGGGGAGCTCTAAAGAACAGCCTTATGCCCTCCCCTTCTTGGAGGCTTGTCTGTACCCCTCCTCCCCTTTCTTCATCCATCTCCCCCTTTTCACTTCGTGTGTCTATATCAGTCCTGTCTCCTGCTTCCAGATCATCTGTTCCCTCTGTGCTCTGTCTCGCTGTCTCTCTGTCCTGCATGCCTGTCTCTCTGTCCCGCATGCCTCGCTGTCTCTCTGTCCCGCATGCCTCGCTGTCTCTCTGTCCCGCATGCCTCGCTGTCTCTCTGTCCTGCATGCCTCGCTGTCTCTGCCTGGGAATCCACTTTTGCACTAATTGGACTCCTCTCTTACTCTGTCCTTCTTTCTGTCTGTCTGTCTGTCTCCCCTCCCCTTCCCTTCTCAGTCTGCCTCTCCCTCCCTTCTGGGCTTCCAGTCCCCGGGTTAGGCTGCCACTTGGTCTACTTCCCAGCTTGCTTACATCTGAGAGAAAAATCCTAAACTCCCCTCATCTTTCCCCACCTGCACTGCAACCCTCTGGTTCAGTTTGTTCTAGAAGCATAAAGACCTCTGGAATCCGGACTTTCCAACATCCTTGCCTGTCTCAAGCCTGTCTTTAACCACAGACAAACTTCTGTTGTCTCTGTGCCCCTTCAAATGAGCCCTGGCCCATAGGACTGGGGGCTCTGGGACATCCCTAAAGTGAAAGCCAGTCCTGGGCTGGGGGGCCAGGAGGCCCAGTCTGCCTGAGTGAACCCCTGGACCTGTGGACTCCAGACTAGCACTGCTAAGGGGTGGGATGGGGATGACAGCCAGCAGGATCCTGGTGCCTGACTCCAGGGAGGGCAACGTCCACCCGTCGAGTCCAGTCCCCTCACCCCGCCCCATCTGGAGTGCCTGGCTCTGCCCTCAGACACCCCCTGAGCTTTGCACACAGGGCGGGGACACCTGGATTTCTCTGGCCCCCTGAGTGGGGTCAACGTGGAGGAATTTCCCAAAGCCTATTAGAGCAGTGGTTGCCTCCTGCCTGCCTCCTCGGGCTGGGCAGGGCTGAGGGCGGAGGGAGGGAGGGGGGAGAGGAGGAAGGGAAAAAAGTTGGCAGGCGGACAGCAGAGCTGTGTCTGCATCCATCGCTGAGAGGAGGCCCGTGCGTGTGGGGCGGGCCAGGAGCAAGGAGAGGCCTTCCTCCCTTTGTGCTCCCCCCTCCTCTCTTCCCCCCAGGGCCCTATAAATAGGCCCAGCCCGGGCTGTGGCTCAGCTCTTGGAGGGAGTCAGGCACCAGGCAGCGGTCTCAAGCCAAGCCCCCTGCCAGCATGGCCAGCGAGTTCAAGAAGAAGATCTTCTGGAGGGCCGTGGTGGCCGAGTTCCTGGCCATGATCCTCTTCGTCTTCATCAGCATCGGTTCTGCCCTGGGCTTCCAGTACCCAGTGAAGAACAACCAGACGGCAGGTGCGTCCCAGGATAATGTCAAGGTGTCACTGGCCTTTGGGCTGAGCATCGCCACACTGGCCCAGAGTGTGGGCCACATCAGTGGTGCCCACCTCAACCCTGCTGTCACGCTGGGGCTGCTGCTCAGCTGTCAGATCAGCATCCTCCGGGCCGTCCTGTACATCGTCGCCCAGTGCGTAGGGGCCATCGTGGGCACTGCCATCCTCTCGGGCATCACCTCCGCCCTGCCTGAAAACTCACTCGGCCGCAACGAGGTGAGTGCATTGGTCCAGGCTTGGGGGACTGCGGACGGTGCTCAGTCACCTGTCTCATCCTCCACCCATTGTGCAGATGGGGATACTGAGGAACCGAGGGAACCCAGAGGTTGCTGGAGGTCGTGCGGAGCTGGGCTTGGAGCTCAGCTATGCCTGCAGCCCAGAGCCTGCTTTTTGCCAGGCACTGTGGGAAGCTGAGACCTGGAGAATAATAGAATTGCCAGTGTCCCCCGTGGGCATCTGTTGTGGGGAATAACCTCTGGGGGCCGCAGACACTTGACTAGTAGTTGTTCACCTCTTGCTGTAGTTTCTCGGCTTCCCCCACCCCTCAGCTCTGCCTGTGCAGCCAGCTCCCTCCTCCTGTAGCTTGGACCCTGGGGAAACTCTGCCCAGTATCCCCAGGCAGCCTGTGTGCAGCTGGTTCTGGAGGGTGTGAACAGGACTGCCATAAGGGGAGTCCACCCAGGGTTCCAGGAAACCCCCATACTCATGCAGGTCCCCGAGCAAATTGCCATCAAGGAAAAAGCCCCTGCAACTCCTCTGCCTCCAGGGACAAGACAAAGATAGGGGTACAACACTGGGCTTTTGCAGGTGGCTTTCCTGGATCACAGTGTGTGGGGGGAGGGAGTGGGGGGAGAGGCTGACAGTTCTCCTGCTGCCGGACTCCACTCCTCATCACCAGCACTGAGAGGTGTGGCAATGTGTTTGGGTGTGTGAAGGGGTGTGAGCGTGTGGATACAGGCACGGGTCTCTGAGGCTGTGCAAGCAGTGCGCTCCTGTGTGTCTGCTTCTGAAAGTGTGTCTGGGGGCACATGTGCAGCCGTGTGAGCGTGTGGGAGAGGCGAATGTGTACCTGCATATGCCCACTGTTCCGCCTAAGTAGGGTCTGGACTGGGGGCACTATGTTGGTGACTGGGTGGCAGCTGCTGAAAAGAATTCCTCCCGGCCGCTCAGCACAGCTAATTGGCTGTTGGCGGTAGTTGCCTGCTGTCACAGACCTGGGCTTTTCCAGCCCCTCAGCCAAGTGCAAACTTAGACCTGGCTTGGCCCACAGCAGGAGGGGAATTTGGCCTGAGAACCCGTCTCAAGCTTGGCATGCAGGAGGGGTGCCCTTGCAGTGGAGAAAGACCAAGGAGCAGGGGAGGGATCAAATGTGGAGTCATGAAGCAGGCAGGATCCTGGGCAGGGCAGGCTGGCATGGGGACAGTGAGGGAGCCAGCTGAGGGCTCCTCAGAGAGGGCAGTGGGTGATGATAGCAACTGGGCCCTTGTTTCCCAGCCAGAGTTCAGGTTGTGATGATGCTTAGGGGAAGCTTGTAAGGTCTGGTCAGAGGGCAGAGGGCACAACCCTGCCACAGGAGGATTAGCACTTCTTGTGTCACAGTGATGCCTCGCCCAGCCTCCTGGTGGAGCCAACCACATGGGGCCCAAGATTGAAGATTAGCCCTGCAGCCTGGAGTTTAGACTTTAGTCAGGAAGACGTGGAGACCATGGTTGTAAGGGACATGCTCTAGCAGGCCAGGTCCTTCCAAGTCTCAGTGTTTCCAGAGGGAAGGTCTAGAGCCAGGTGACCTCAACGAGTGCCCTCTGCGTAGGGGCAAGGGTACCCTGGAGCTTGACTGGGTGTCACAGGGGAGGGTGAGCGGGTAGAAGCTCCAGGCCTCCTGGCCCCCTCTCCACTCTCCTGCACAAGGTGGATACTGAGCTCTAACTCCACACCGCTGCCCCTTTGGTGCTATGTTGATCTGCACACCGTGCTCAGCTGCCCTTCCGCTTCTCTGACTTCCATATTCCAGCATCACCCTGATAGTTGGGCTGGGCAGACTACAAATGAGAAAAGGTGGGCAGCCTAGTGCAGGGCCCAGCCCCAGTCTGGGAGGCAGACACGCTAGGTTCAAGTGCTGTCTACTAACTTGAGTTTCCTTGGCACTGAGCACCCTGAGGTTCAAGAGGGGGCACAGGTCTCTTGATATCTCTTGGCCACGCCCAAACCACCAGGACTTTGTTGACTTGTGTTTATCACCCTTCCCAGGAGGGTTAGCTAAGAGGAACCCACGGGCCGTGCTGAACATAAGGCACTATGTGTTGTGTGTGTGTGGCGGGGTTGGGGGGGTGGGCATTGCCCTGCACACACGATGCATGTTTGAGGTCCAGAAGCACAAGTTCTGGGCCAAGAAATGGAGAAGTTGTCCTTGCCAAGAGCCCCTGTCAGACGCTGCACCTGGGATCTGAAGTGGCTTCAAGAGGGGCAGGGACGTGTATACACCGCAGGTGACACACTTTTTCCTCCAGGCCCTGGGGGAGGCTTCCACAGTCCCTTGGCCCCCAAGCCCCACCCTGCCCCAAGCTGGGGTGGAGTAAGTCGTTGTCGTGGAGACGTCCAAAGAAAAAAAAATAGGGAAAGAAATGGCAGGAAGTGGTTGGGGTGACTCAGGGGGTGTCCCCCAAGGACAACTTTCTCCTCGCTGAATCAGGGGCCGGGATACGCCCTGGATTGGACACGGGGCTCCTCCGGCCTGTCGGATCTCAACTAGTTCTAAGAGTCAAACTCAATTTTGACCAAGGGTGAGACGTGTAGTTGGTCCCTGCCTCAGGTTGGGGCCCTACTGCAGCCAGCAACATACCCCGTGTGGCATCACGCAGGGAGCTTTCCCGAGTGGCCCTAGGTTGCATCCTGGAACAGGGTGTGGCTGGGTATGGGAAGTCGAAGATGCTCATGAATCTGGCATCCTGGCCATTGCTGGCTTTTGCTGCACGTGCAGCAAACAGGACAGAGACTGTTTCAGACTGAGTCAGCCAGCTCCCTGCCCTGGGTAGCCCACAGTCCCGGGCAAGATAAGACCAGGCGCTGGCACAGCTGCCCATGATACGGGGCAGGAGGAAGGTATGATAAGAGGTGTCGGAGAACAACCCTGACCTTGAGGGTTAGGGAGGGGCAGGGAGGTTTCATGGGGAAGGTGGCACGTGAGCCTGAATGTGGACACTCTGCCAGGAAGGGGCTTCCAGGCAGAGCAAGTGAGCAAGGCAAGGGGGCAATGGGAGATTGTGGTCTGGGAATCATGGGGGTGTGGGGTGTCTTGTTGAAAAGAGGGGCTCTGGAAGGTGGGAGGGCTCAGGATTCAGTGTCTGACTGTTGTAGTGGGCACTGGGACCTGAGCCCTCAAGGGCTCCCTCTTTGGGGGTCTTATCTTAGCCTTGCTTATCTTAGCACAGGCTAAGGGGCCTGTGCTCTTGCTCAGGACCTGAGCACCTGGGAGTGATTCATCTGCTGCATCAGGGTCCTGACCTCAGGCCTAAACTCTCCCCCTTTCTCTGGTTCCCCAGGCCTCTGGTACCTCAGTGCTTCCAGGTTTGAGGGCCCCTCCTGCCTCCTCCAGTGTTTGGGGTAGGCTGGGGAAAGGGAAGCCAGGGTTTTCCAAAGGCCCTGCCCAGCCCAGCTGGCAGGGAGGAGTGGGGGCTGGGTGGTGGTGCCACAGCTGGGACATATAATTACTGTTTCCAGCCAGAACCAGATAGGGGGGGTGAGGGCACAGAGCGGCAGGAGCTTTGTGGTGGAGACTTCCCACACCGTGGAAAGTTCTGAGGCTGTTTCTCCTGTTACAGCAGCCCCGCCAGTCCCGTGTTGCCCACCTGGACACCTGGTCGTAACCAGGACTCACCTAGGAAAACTCCTCTGGAATGGCGATGCTCTGATAAGGGTCAGGGCCTGCTGGGGTGCTTCAGTCTGCAGGGACTTGCCCTGTGCTGGCCCCTGCCCCCTCCTGGGTACAGTCCCCTCACATCTTGAGCCATTAGCTCATTGCAGGCCAATGTCATGCCCACTGCAGGCCAATGCCAATGCCTCCCTGACTTAGGAGGACAGATAGTGCTCCCCACTTTTGCTAGGTCCCCACCCAGCAGGGGTTCCTTCAGCATTAGCCCAAGGCTTTCCCCGTCATGTGTACTTCTATCCCCATGACATAAGGGGCCTGTGCTCTTGCTGCAGAGCCTCCCAGGTCCTGGACCCTGTTCCCTCAGAGCACTAATGGTCTGGAATCTCCCGAATGGTGGGGGGCTAAGCCCACACACCTGTAGGTATGGCCAGGTCCCCTCGGGCAGGGCCTCACCCCCAGAGACCAGAGCGGTCTCTTGACCATGTGGCCTCCAGAGGGTTAAGTGAGAACTGCCTTCTCACACTCAAGGAACTGTAATCCAGTGGGGTGCGCACACCCTGTGGCTGAAAACCCCAACTTAAAAGATGGCAGCAAAGACTGGAAGTGTCCTATTCCCATTAGCTGTTCTTTCAGTGTCTCAAATCCACCATGAGGAAATCTGGAGAGGCAGATGTCTGTTCTGTGTAAAGAGGATTTTTTTCAATTGGGAAGTGGCTGCTGTGAGTCAGTGAGCGTCCTGTCCTAGGGCCAGCCAGCTGAGGCAGCAGGCAGACGGCGCCGCAGGCATCTGACTGGGAACAGCAGGGCGGGTTGAGGGCCTGTACTGGTTTTGTGCCATGTGGCGAACCGGAGGTTCAGAAGCCCTCGTGGGAGGGAATCCTGTATTCAGTGTCCTGGCCAGGAGGGTGACCATGGACCTTGTGTAGAGGAGCAGGACTCTCTCAGGCAGGAAGGAACTCTAGAGATATCTGGAGCTAGAATCGGGCCAAGGCTTCCATTTTGGTGATGAGGAAACTGAGGCCCAAAGAGGTGTGGACACTTTTTGAGGTTGCATAGTGGATCATGGCACAGCCAGACCACACCCTAGCCTCTGGCCTCCCAGCCCTTGAGATTTCTGCTGCTCCAGCATGCTCCTGCTGCACCAACATACACATATACTCACACACATGCATGGCTGACTCATGACATATGGGGACCCATTCTTTAGCCTGGGTCTACTCGGGCCCTGGGATCTCAGGAGGGTGGGATGGGCGCTTCTCAGGGGAGCCACTTCCCTCCCCTGGGAGGAAATTGGGGGCTGCCCTGAAGTAAAGAAAAGAAGGAGGGAGAAAAGGAGGAAGCTGTGGCTTTGTGTATTGTTTCTTGTCAGGAAGATGAAATGGTTTATGGGAGTAAATAAAGGGCCCTTTGAGAACTGCTGTTCCTTCTGTTGCTCAAGGGGGGCTCCTTCCCTTCACCTTCACCTTACCCCCACCCCCTGCTGGCAACGGCACCTGTGAGTGGGTACGCAATACACAGGGACATGGTAACACACCTGGAAATGCCACCACACACAGAGAGTCTGGCTGCCCAGGGCCACAAACCACTCAGAGCCCCCCTTGGTGAGAAACCCCCTGCGAGACGCGTCCTCAGAGATGGCTGAGATGCATCTGGCCAGGGCATGGCCGGTTCATCCGAATGTCCACATGGGCTGAACGGGAATAAGTGGTCTCAGATTTCAGTATGTGGAGTTTTTTGTATTTTCCTTTCATCAAGCTCGTCATTTGTGTGCTAGGAGTATTTTTTGATGGCCTCATTTCACCAGTTTCTAAGAAAGGGTTGTTAAAATCTTTCATTCTGGTAGTGGATTGATCAGCTTCTCCTTGTAATTCTGTCAATTTTTTTGAGATTTATTTATTTTTAGGCTGTATTGTTTGGCGCAGACGGTTTGAGACTTTTCATTTAATTATTCTATGACAAACCTCTTATTGGCTAATGGAAAAGAACAGCAGGGAATCAGGCTTGGACAGATGTGACTACCCATATACACTGCAGACAACCATCCACAAAGACACACAGACTTGCACAAGGTCAGAGGCACACATGACTGGCCAAGTCAGGGAGACATGGGGGAGCCCACTGAGTGGGTGTCCCCACTGCAAGTGCTGTGTCTTGAAAGCGGCTGGTGGGTGGGACAGGCTTTGACATCTTCCATCACCTGTTCTTCGAGAGCAGAGTTTCAAAGCCACAGCCACATTTGGCTCTGCAGCCTGCTGGTCCCCGAGGGTGGGGCACCAGCATGTCCTGGCCAAGTTGAGAGTGCCGGGCCTTGAAAGTTACCTGGCCAGCCTGGCATTGGAAGTAGGGAGGATTTGAGGCTCATTCCCTGAGAGGCCAACCTGCACCCTCCTGGCACCTGGGACATGCTGGCAGCTAGAAAGCCATCTTCTGCCAGCTCTCCAGTTCAGGTTAGGAACAGCCAGGTCCCTTGGCTGGGCTTGTAAGTACCAGTGTCTTGGCCTGTGACCCTGAGGCAAGGATGCTGGCTTTACGGTCTCTCCCCTGGACCTCTGCCTCCTCATCCATCACTGCACAGCCCCCTTCACAGACTTCTCTGGAAAACTCACAGAGACTAATGCGGCCTGTGGCCTCCCAGCTGCAAAGCAAATAAGCCAGCTTTGGATCCAGAGAGCTTCCCTGGAGGCAGGTTGCCTCTAGAAAGTGTAAGAGTTCTAGAAAATTAGCATCCTCCACCAATTCTGTCACCATAAAGCAAGTGTCCCTTACAACATTTGGGCAGGATGATGGGAAGGACTCATGCTCCCAGGCCAGGGGTGCCTGAGCCCCCAGAGAGGAGGCAGGAGGTTTAGTTCCTTGGAAGAGTTGCAGGCAGTTTAGTGAGTACATGATGGGAGGTGATTTCAGCCAGGGTCCTAGAAAACCTTCTTCAAGGTCATGGGGTCTGAATTTGGCTTGAGAGTGGCCTTCAGTTGTCTTGATACAAAAATAGAGAAATTGCATCTTTCTGGTGCTTAAGATTATGGGATTCTGTTGTTTATCTCTGTATTTACAAAATTGATGTACTCTTTTTTTTTTTTTTTTTTTTTTTTTTTGCCTTAATCAGTGAATTTTGTGACCTGAACTGGGCGGAAATATGTAGGGATATGCAAACAAACGTGCTTTTTCAATAATAAGTGACCACACCTAGGATTGGCCCTGTTTAAACAATTGTTTGAAATTTAATGGTTGGTAAAAAGTAACATATGTTTTGAATTTTTACCTGATGTTTCCTGGACATAAGTTACAAGAGACTTCTAACTACACCTTCCAGTTTCTAATTATCATGTTTTTCCAGATATAAATAATTCAAGTTCATTGGTGGTCAAGAGGGAGGTAGTCACTCTTCACTGATGTAACTAGGGGGGACTTCCTGGAGGTGGTAGTGGTGGGTATTAGAAGAAGCAGGATACCAACCCTTTTTTTTCTGAGTTAAGGACTCTGAACAGTCAGGTAGGGGGTGGATCCAGGAGTTTCTAGGATAGACAACTGTTCTCTTCCCGTGAAATCAGAGCTCTGGGCCTGGTGTCAGATCCCCAGCTTGCTCACTTTGCATGAAAAGCAGTGTTTGGGGCAGGCAGGAGCTGGGATGCTCAGACCTGTTAAATACCATGGGAGGAGATGAATTCTCTTAGACCAGGTCTGTGAGAGGGACAGGGTATGAATGGAGGAGTATGAGGCAGGAGCAACCTAGAGTGATGGCTGCAGAAATCAGCATGGCAGTACTGGTTTTAGGACTCCTGCCAGCTAGCAATTAGGCTGACCCTGGAGAGAAGAGGAGAGCAGGGGGAGGAGTCCTGAGCACCCCAAGCACTCAGACACAGGATACAGCAGGTGTGAGGGTGATGGGCGTGGGTGCAAGCTTTTCAGCCTCACCAGCCTCACCTAAGTGGAGGCCAGGCAGGACTCACTCTCATCTCCATATCCCTTCTTCTGCCCCCCAGTTCTTGGGGTAAGATGACAAAGAACCAGAACAAAGCCACAACCACCATCCTGATTCCTCCCGCTTCTTCAGGCCTTCCACAGGCCCTAGACAGCTGCCATTCCCCTCGAAGCTCCACTCACTCTAGAGATTAGGCAAAGCAAATTAGATCTATTTTACAGATGGGAAAACTGAGGACCAGAGAGGGAAAGGCCATATTCCTATGCCAATAAGTAGGAGAATGAGGGTATTAACACAGGGCCCTCCTCCACTATCCCGTCTTGGAAGGGGAAGAAGACTGGGCATTGCTCCAAGGGCTGAGGGACCACAGTTCTGGGGTCGGCCAGGAAGGACCCAGAACTGGGGCTGCAACCAGGGGAGGGGATGTGAGTCATTTTCCCTGTGACCCAGGGCTGCACAGAAAGACGGGAAGAGGATTGTTCTTGTAAGATGGCCTTGGGGGTGGTTGAGAACACCTCTGGAGGAGTGCCTTTTTCCTAGGATTCTGAAAAATGCTCTTCAGCCTTGGAAACACCTTCACCTTTAGGATGGGACTTTAAATTCAAGTTTCTTTGGCGATAGCAGCCCTATCTGTGTGGTCGTTTGGCTGCCTACATGGCCATATCCGGGCATCTTTGCAAGTGGGCCTTTTCTGGCAGGGCCCAACTCCCCTTTGTGGAGACACGTGGTCCCTGGGACCCCCCACATGAGATATAGGGGCTCCCTGGGGCGGGGGCTTCCTGGTGCAGCTGCAGGGGGAGGGCTCCAGTGATCTCACAACAACTCCCATTCTCTCTTTTTTCCATGAGTCATGTTTCTAAAAGTGGCCCAGGAGCAAGAGGCAGCCAGCCGGTGGTGGTGGTGGTGGGGTGATGTGGCCAGGGAGAGGGAGGGGCAGGTCAGGAGGTAGACAGGCAGGGCAGGGCCAAGAGATGGGAGAGAAGCCCTAGACCTAGGGAGAGACATGCAGAGGTGGGAAGGAGTCAGAGGTGGGGAAGGAGATAGCGGGTGGAGGCAGCCCAGAGATAGGCGCAAAGGAGAGAGGGCCTCTGGGAGCGAGGGCCAGCCAACTCAGGAAAACCTTTCCCGGTATTGGGAGTTTCAGATGCCCCAGGGGATGAGGTGGAATGTTCTGAACTTTTGGTGTATGAAGCAATACCTCCAGATAGGTCCTCTCACCATTGCCTTCTGTTTTCCTAAGAGTATCCTGACCATCTCCCATGCCTGGGGCTTGATCTCACCTAAGGCAGTGGTACCCCTAGGGTATGCAGGCCTGGATGTAGCTGGATGTAGGTCACCCCTAACACTCCCCTTCTCCCCTGCCTTTCCCGCATTTGCTTCTCTGGCCTTTAGGCAGAGAGCTGCAGGTCTAGGCAGGTAGTAGGGGCTGAGCTTGGGAGGAAGATAGGGTCCTCTCTGGACCTAGCTAGGGGTCTGAGGGTGCTAAGGGTCTGGCCTTTGGTGACCTGGCCTGGGAACCTTAGGACACAGTCACAGCCTGCCTGCTGGACCTCACCACCCCTCTTCCCAACAGCTGGCTCCCGGTGTGAACTCCGGCCAAGGCTTGGGCATCGAGATCATCGGCACCCTGCAGCTGGTGCTGTGTGTGCTGGCCACCACCGACCGCAGGCGGCGTGACCTCGGAGGCTCGGGTCCCCTTGCCATCGGCTTCTCTGTGGCCCTGGGACACCTGCTGGCGGTGAGTGGGGGGCCTTCCCAGGAGGGGTGGGAAGGGCAGGGGTGGGCAGTGGGTCAGGGTGACCATGGCAGGGCTCATGCCGTGGGGTAAGGGGATCAGCAGTGGGGGCTGGGGCCGGGTCCTGAGCAGGACAGGGAAGCAGAGGGAACTCCTGACCATCTTCTAAGGTCAGGCTCCCTTCTGGGTCTGATTGTCTCTCTCTTCTCCATCTCTGGTGTTTGGCTGCTCCCCTTTCTGTCCACTCGCCCCTTCCCTCTCCCAGATTGACTACACCGGCTGCGGCATTAACCCTGCCCGGTCCTTCGGCTCCTCGGTGATCACTCACAACTTCAAGGACCACTGGGTAAGGCGATCCAGGTGCCCTGTGGAGGAGGTGGTAGGCTTCAGCCTCACCCAACCCTGCAGCTCCCTTTCCCCTCAGAGAAGCTCAGGGCAACAGTCAGGGCAGAAGAAATGGGGAAACTGAGTTTTGAGATGAAGGGACCCATTTAGAGGTCACACCTAGGCCAGGCCTCTGTCCTCCCAGCTCAGACCTACCCCAGGTTGTCCCAGCAGCTTGGTTGAGGGGGACGTCCACATCCTGGCTCTGCCGGGTTCCTGTTCAGCCTGACCTTGGACAGGTTGCTGGCTTCTCAACACCTGGGTTTCCTGAACTGTAAAGGGGGGATGTGGTGGCATCTACCAATCTCCAAAGGCTGCTGGGAGGATGTGGGTCCTTTGGCCTTGGTACCCTTGAGCTCAGTGGACTGAGCTGTTCTTCCTGTTGATGTTTCTGTTCCAGGTCAACCCTGTATCACACTAGACTCTCTGGGGCCCTTGCAAAGCTGGGGAGGGGGCAGTGGTCACCCCTCAAGAAGGGACTGGTGTGACCATGTGGAGCTGGGCTACACCAAGGCAAGGAGATGTTCGGTACTAGTGTCCTGGCTTGGGCTAGTTCTAGGAGTCACCGGAATTAGGATGTTGGGGTCACATTCTGTCTGCCTCTGTCCAGGCATCTGTGGGAGAGAAACCATCCCAGGGGGTGGTGGGCAGGGAGCTGAGGGGAGGGGCTTCCAGCCAGACGTTCTCTGAGCATGCCTGCTCTGGTCCTAGGTTTTCTGGGTGGGGCCGTTCATCGGCGGAGCCCTGGCTGTGCTCATCTATGACTTCATCCTGGCCCCACGCAGCAGCGACCTCACGGACCGAGTGAAGGTGTGGACCAGCGGCCAGGTGGAGGAGTACGACCTGGATGCCGACGAAGTCAACTCCAGGGTGGAGATGAAGCCCAAATAGATGAGGGCCTGGCCCTGGGCATCCACGTGGGGGGTGGGGGGCAGGGGAGGGCAGAGGGGGGGAAGGGTGAAATCCATATTGTAGACACTCTGACAAGCTGGCCAAAGTCACTCCCCAAAGATCCGCAGGACCCGTGAGGTCAAGCCTGACTTGGGACTATTTCTATCACTTTCTTTCTCTTTCTCTGTTTCCTGGCCTTAGGGCTTCCTGGGGACCAAGATTTACCAATCACCCACTCCCTTGAAGTCACAGAGGAGGTGAAAGAGAGGGACCCCTGCTAAGTTGTCCCCTCAGAGTGTGACGGGAGATATGCCAGAAAGTCCCCCCTCATCCCAAAGTTGCTCACCAACCCACCTGCCGCAGGTGCCTGGGGTTCCACCACTATTGCTTTGTGCCCATGGGTGTGACCCCTCTTTCTAATGACACGCACTTTGCCCTTAAGGGCGCTTTGAGGGGAAGAGAATCCAGGAAGTGCAGTGATAAGGCAAGTGGCAGATAAGATTCGCCCTTGTAGTTGTCCCCTCAGAGGACAACTGGGCCTCCCCACCTTGGACTTGCTACATGGCCTTGGGCTGCCGTAGCTTCTGGCCTTAGTGCCCCCCATCCATAAAGAGGCAGGGACAAGGGAAAGCTATGTGGGCCGGAGGCCCCTCTCTATGATTCTGTAAGCTAGCTACACCTTGGGTTCTGGAAGATGTGGACCAGACCTATGTGCTTTTTCCAGCTGCCTGGGTCTTTCCCCAGATATATGGCTGAACACAGCACACATGTTACAGAGCAGAGAGCAACAGACAGTTCAGTCATTGACATTTCCTGAACCGGGGGAGCAGGGCTGATGCCCTTGCAGTGGCTTCACAGGTCGGGGTCTCCTGTTGCAGAATGAAGGTCATCTAGAGGATGAAGAAGGTGTACATTGTTGCTCTATTCACTTTTATTTGGTCTTTTCCTCTTATTACTGCATCATCTTGCTCATTACTCAGTTCTCCACTTCCTCCTGTCCGTGTAGACGCAGGTCACCATGATCCAGGGGTGTGTTTATTAATGGCAGTTAGTTGTCTGAAGTCCCAAGCCTGAACACAAGTGACCCTGCTGCAGCTCTGCCCAGGGAAGTGGACATATTTGCTGGACCCCTTGGGGAATTTCCACATCCCCAGCTGATCCTGAGAGGGGAGAAGCAGCAGATTTCCCCCTTATTCCTGATTGAGGCATTTGTGGTGACTGGGTGAACTGCAGGCTCCCCATGTGACCCCAGGCCATACCTAGCCTTTTCTCATTTACCTGGAGGGAAGAGTTGGCCTTGACCTGTGATGTAGCTACTGCCATGTCCCAAGGACAGTTCAGAGCAGAGTCTGTTTGGAGGCTGCTATCTAGAGCCCATCAATTCCACCATGGCTGGAGCAGGTACCCCCTGGGCCAGAGCCACCATGGTGATGAAAACTGAGAGACAGAGTTGCAGGTATCTAGAGGCAGCGAGGAGATCAGGAGGCTCTTGACTGTCACTGACCTATCATGACATCTGCACACTCTCTTCTCCATTCTCTACCAGGGACTTCTAGTCCATTTTATAGATAAGGAAACTGAGGCCCACGGCTCCACAGCTAAATAATGATTTGGCCAGGCCTTGTGGCCAAGGTCATGTCTCTGGCTGCACCTTGGGCCGTGAGACTGACTCCTCTCATTCCCAGCTTCTGAATGTTTTTCCTGGGCAGTGACCAGGGACTAGGAGGGGTCAGGGTCATGCTGGAGGGAGAGGGATGCAGCTCTGCTCCCCATCGACCCCATGCTGGCTGCTGTGTACCAGGACCCTGCTTCTCTCTGCTCTGCATATATGTCTCTTTTGGAATTGGAATTTCATTATATGTTAAGAAATAAAGGAAAATGACTTGTAAGGTCATACAGTCTCCCTGTATTGCTTTTCTTTTTGGCACACCATCTTCACAGGGATCTCTGGGTCTGAGAGATCAGGGTCCTTCCTGGGGACCCAGACTGAGGGGCACCCATTGCCTGCTCCCCCACCTCCAGGATCCCTGGTCTCAGAGGGTGGACAGCAACTCATTCCAGAACTCCTTTGAGGGCTACAGGTTCCTGTCCCTAATAAGGACACTTTTGGGGCCCAGTGGAATGGGGTCAAAGAGAGGGATAAGGATTCTGAGCAGTTTAAATGGGGTAGTGGGAGTCATTTTTAATTCTGGAGCAGGAGAGGGAGGGAGGAAACAGGATTGAGGTTTGACAGTCCTGTTAGTCCCTCTGCCCTCCTTAGAGGAGGACCAAGTATCTTTCCCCCTGTGCTTTCACACTCATTTCTGACCCCACCCATGCCTGTGCCAGATCCTGGGGCCACAAGCTCTGTCTATAGCGCTCTGCCTGGTGGAGGAGACAAACTCGTCCATGAGAGCTGAGAGGGTTAGTGCTGGGCACAGGTGATGCTCAGCTGGCTCATGAAGCATCCTGCAGTGGCTAAGAGGGAAAGAGCATGTTAGCCCCCAAAGGAGGGGAGATGGATGCTGGAGACCAAAGTCAAAGACAAGACAAGTCTATGTCAAGTTTGGACACTGAGATACGCCACCCCCAACCAAGTACATACACTTCGAGCTAGTTTCTGAAAATGGGGACAACTATTATCTATTGGCACACTGAATATCCCATGATAGGAAATAGGCTATGAGCAGACCTGTATCATCCAGGGAGGCCCAGTCTAGGGGGTTCTTAGAACAATCAGTCTAGAAATTTCACCAGGTCACTTGAACAGATGTGGCCATGGGTCTGGACAGAACAAGAAGGGGTGTCTGGGATGTTTGGTCCTCACTCCCCCAACACAGTTGCTGAGAGACATGATTCCTGGGCCTGCAAATGGTCAGGGACCAGGTCACCCAGTGAAGGCAGAGTAAGTGCTGTCAGAACGGGCTTTCTGGCCCAGCATGCACTGTGTCACCTCAGCTGTCTCTGCCCACAAACACTGCTCCTGCAGCCCCCAGGCTGTGGACAGGCCATAGGGATGGGAGAGTGAGGGTCAGCGGTGGCCCAGACCAGTGCACTCAGACCAGTGCACCAGTGGCTCAGCTCCGCCCTGAGTCCGTGTGGGCCTCTCCCTCACAGCCTTCCTCGGCTTTTCTCTTTATCATGTCCCATCGGCCCACATCTGAAGCCCTCTCAGCCCCTACCTTGGCCCCCAGTCATCCCCACCTCAGACCCTGCTCTTCCGTTACCACCCACAGCCACTGGAGGACAGAGCCTTTCTGACTGACTGATTAGTTATAACTTTCAGAATCCTAATGCCAAGAGGAGGGACTGAACAGGTCAGGGAGCTGGTATTTCTTGAGCACATGTAGTAATGTATGAGGACTTCACATAAAGCCTTTCTAACCTTTACAACATCCTTGGAATTAGAGCGGACTGTCCCAATTTATAGAGGATACTGAGGTCCCTGAAGATGAAATGATTTGCCCGAAATGATTTGTCACACAGCTGGTTGGTGGTAGAATTGAGATTTGAACCTATTCTATATGGCTTCAAAGATTGGTGGCAAGGGGCCTTGTCCACCATGTGATCCTGGCCCATTGGTCATGACCTTTAGCATGTTTAACTGTGGGCCAGCCTGGCAGACAGGCTTCCTCTGTCCAGACAATGATGAGCAGAAGGAGGAGGTAGGGGAGAAAGAAGGGCTAACAGAGGGGCCTCTAGTGCCAGGACAAGGGCCTCCAGAGCCCTTATTCTGGGGCAAGCTGCACATGGTGTTTCCTTGAGACACATTGGTACCACCTAGCTCCAGCTGCTCCCCAGGCACTGTCCTGCCCAGCTTCCCCAGTGCCCTCCAGGCCTGACTGCTCCCATATCTGGAAGGAAATATCTGATAAACTTTCTCATTCAGAAGTTGTCCACTCCCATCACAGTGTATGAAATGCAGAGGGCACAGCTGCACCTCAAGAGGTAACAATGTACCACAAAGGGGTCTCATACCCATTCAGGCCTGCAGGAAAAATTCGGAGGCCAGGCTGCTCAAGATCCCTCTCCCAGCCCTTCCAGTGCTTCAGATGGTCAGTTTATCAAGGGCCATCCCCAGCTCTGCTTTGCTCATTATCCATCTTCTCCAGCGCAGAAAAGAGGTTTTGGGGAAATAAGAACTGGAGTAGGGCTTCTAGAGCAACCAGAGCCCTTATCTGTTTTGTTCAGTGGACTTCAATAGAGAGAGTAATTTTCCTGGAAGCTTCCATGACTCAACGGTTTTAACCAAGCTGCTGAGCATTCGCGCACATGCTCAGGTGAGATGCTTTGGGCACCTTTTACCCTTTCTGGCTGAGTCTCCCAGAGAACAGACCACTTCCTCCTGCGGTGTCCCCCAGGGTTCTGAGGCTTTCTGCTGGTCTGGAAGGCCACGCCCTCCTCACTTGGCCCACAAGGAAACAGGATGTAATCGAACAACCTCTGAATCCTAGAATATTTGTCTCTCCATTAATCTCACAGGAATAAAAAGTCACCATTCCACAATTGCTCCACCTGTTTGAGGCCTCCTAGGATCCCTGGGCCAGATCATAACAATTCCCCAACGCCCTTTAAGGGTACATCAGCCAGAGTTCCGTGAAGAATGTTTGCATCAGCCTGAGTGTTTGCCTTTTAACCATGCAAATGCATGACCTCTGGCAGTGCTGGATGGTCCTGGGTTTCTAAGCATCTAGGATTTGGAATCCACAGAGACCATATTTCCCTTTTGATAGCCCTCTTTTTCATTCAGGATCAAGGTGATTCCTCTTTCCAGATCCTGGAGAGGTGCTGAGAAGCCTGTGAGAGAATTGATTTTTTTTTAAAAGATTTATTTATTTATGCATATAAGAACTGGGGTACAGGCCAGAAGTGTGTGTGTGGTGGGTGAGAGTGCTCACCAAAGTGGGGAGCAGAACAGGCAGATTGACTGAAATACACTGCTGAGGGGAGCAGTGGGTGAGTCAGGAGAGGTCTGCTGTGCCATGTGGGAAGCTCCCTGGCCTGGGATTGAACTCGCGCTGCAGTGGCTGCGGACAGCTTCATAGGTTGCATTTTAACCCCTTGTGCCACCAGGGAGGCATGAGAATCGATTTTTGAAGCTGCCCTGCACTAGGGTCAGTCAACGAGTCAAACATAGATGCAGGGAAGTCTCAGGCCCATGACTCTGGCTCTGACTTCAGCTTCGTGAACTTTCTCAAAGCCCGCGTGGACTCTAGAGGCCCAAACGCAGAGGCGTAGGTGACTCAAGTCAGCCATTTGCCATTTGGCCCCAAGGACCATGGCAACTTTTCGGTAGATGCAGGGAAGGTTCTCTACCTTTTGGGCCCCCAATATCCTTGGCACCAAAGCCAGGAGGAGCCAGTCTGGAAAAGCACTGAAGGGACTGGTGCCAGGGGTCCCGCCCATGGTGTGGCCAGGCACGAGCTGCCTCATTAGGATTTTTCCATCCCTCTTGTAGGTCATACCTTCACCAGTCAGGAGCCTCTCAAGGAGGGGGATAGTGATTAATGTTTTATGGATTAACTGCTGGGCATGACGCCTTGTTTGCTTTAGGTTTAGAATACAATGAGGACGATGAGAGGAATTTGCTTGGAACTGGTGTGGGGGAGGAGGGACACTCTGAGACCCACAGATGGTGATGTTTAATGAACTTAGGGCCCAAAGGGGCAATTCTGGAGCAGGAAAGGCAGGTGAGATCCTTGACTACATAGTTATCATTCCCAACCCTAAAGGGACAGTGACTACCACCAAGCCCAGGCCCAGTGGGAAGATAGGCCAATGTGGAGGGTACCCAGGGATTATAGTGAGATCATCCTCCTTGGGTGATACTGCTTGACTTCCATAAAATTACACTCTCTGCATATAGGATTTTGTTTTTATTTCTCGTCTTTCCAGTGTATCAATGGAGAATGGGCTGAGGGCGCATATGATCTGCAGCTGCCGTACAGGTTAGAATGGTCTCATCTATTTTAAAAATACTAAAATAGTCCATTTGTTCTGAACTCTTCAAATCCCTCCCCATCCCCACTGTACCCCAACACCCACACTGTCTGACTTCCCTGATTCTGCTCAGTCTGGACCCCTCTACAGCCCAGCACTTAAGGGGTCGGCCCTGTCAGCAGGGGGTTCCTCCAGCCTGGTTCAGACCTATAGTTGTGGGGTGGTCTGGTGGGTTTTTGGAGCCCTTGTCACACAAGTTAAATATTTTGCTTATCACCTCTGGGTGGGAAATAAAGTATCTAGCTCTCTATCTACCTACTTACCTACCTACCTACCTATCAACTATCTATTCCATCCATTAAGGTCCAAGTTTGAAAAAGTAGTGTGTGTGTGTGTGTGTGTGTGTGTGTGTGTGTGTGTGTGAGTGCGCGCACATTGGGAAAGAACATACTCCTATAACACTATATTTGGAGCTCTCCTCTGATATGAACTAAGAAACTTCCAATGATTGTCCCTCCCGGGAATGCCAGTGCATGACTGGTAAGTACAAAGGTTCAGGACTCTGCTAGCCAGTGGCTAGGACTGGAGCACTGCCCGCTGCCTACCGCGGGGTTCCTATGGAACGCCCTCACCGTGTGCTACCCCTGGTTTGTGTATAGTTAGTCTGCCCTTCTGGGGAGCCCATTAGTCTGAGAAGCTAACATGGCTTGATTTCATTAAGGGAAAGTGGGCAGAAGAAGCTACTAATTAAGCAGAGTCGTCTATAAGTTAGAGGAAGAAAAATGCGTGATTTTCACGTGTCATGCTTCCTCAGCTGCCCTTCCTCTGTGGTCAGCACTGGAGGTGAGTTCTGTGTTCAGGAAGGTGTGGGGAGAATGGAGCTGGTTTCTATCTCCATCCAATTTTGGCCGAGGCTGGTTCTGGAGGTAGCCTCTCTGGACTTACTGGGCATGTGTCCCCTTAATTTCAGCCATCC